GTGTGTGTGTACACGCGTGTGTGTGTACGCGCTTGGAACAGGAAGGGGCAGGCTGGGAGCTCCATGGGAACTCTCACCTGGGGTGGGATCAGGAGCTGCCGTCACCTGCCCTGAGGATTGAAATCCGAAAAGTTGATCTTTTTTTTATTTTTATTTTTTAAAGATTTTATTTATTTGTCAGAGAGAGAGAGAACACAAGTGAGCGCAGGCAGAGGGAGAAGCAGGCTCCCTGCTGAGCAAGGAGCCCGATGTGGGGCTCAATCCCAGGACCCTGGGATCATGACCTGAGCCAAAGGCAGATGCTTAACTGACTCAGCCACCCAGGCGTCCCATGAAAAGTTGATCTTTTAATGTTTAGATCTGTCTCTCATAAGAGGAACAACAGAAAAGTGTCTGGAAAAAAACTAGAGTGATGAGTGTTTAGCTCTAAAGTAAAAGTAGTGGTAAGGTTTCAGTGAATGGCCTCAGTTCTCAAAGACGCTAATAGTATTTTGAGAGTCTCTGGGGCGGTTGGCAGGAAGTTCTCTGTGGATATTCAGGAGAAGCAGGTGCTGCTGAAGTTCTCGGTGTCGGGACACTGACCCTGATCAACTTCATGTCCCCCGCCAGGTGATGCTGTGTAATCCCGTCTGTGGCGTTGGCTATGCTCTGACAGTGTGGCGATTCTTCCGAGATCGAACAGAAGAAGAGGAGATCTCGTTAATTCACTTTTTTGGAGAGGAGTACCTGGAGTATAAGAAGCGGGTGCCCACAGGCCTGCCTTTTATAAAAGGGGTCAAGGTGGAGCTATAACACAGCAGGAGCGGGCCACCCTGGGCCCAGGGGCCTCCCACTGGGCGTGGCCTGGGCCACACCTGCCTCCGGTCAGCCACTCTGCGGAATGGATTTTCTGAACCATTTTGTATGTCACCAATTACTCTTCTGGAGTATCACTCAAGACCAAATGGTGAGAAGGCCTCAGGACCAAAGGCCCCCTCACCCTAGAGCAATCTGTTCTTGGGCTGAATCAAGGTAGGACACAGATCAAAGATGGACAAGGAGCAAATAACAGCAATATTCTACAGTGACTCCGCCCCCCCCAGAAGGGCCTGGGTGAGAGCCCCGGCCGCGCACCATCCCCCACGAGGCATTTAGTGTAACCAAGACCCCTCAGGAGCAGTGGACTCGCTCATTACTGAGTAAGGCTTCTTTGGCAGGAAGGGGTATGTGGACAACAGTGCTTAGTGTTAGAAATACATTCAAAATCTTTAACCAGAAAACACAAACAGCACAGCTTCGACCTCCTTATTTCTGTGCTTAAGTGCATGAGCATCTATACAGTTTTAAAGATAATTCTTTATAAGGCACTTTGGCTCTTAATATATTTAATCGTATTTACATATCTATTTTTTATAAATAGCAGTATAAATTCTAAGGGGACTTGGTGTTTATAGCCCCAACTTTTATTTGGCAGACAGGCAGCATGGACACCTCCAGACGATTTGGCTGAGTGGCTTTGTGTTAACAAGGGCACCCCAAGCCAGGGAGACTGTGGGCCTCTGTGGCTTTCCCTGGGGTCCTGGCCTGCTCTTCTCCCGAGAGGGGGCTGTTATCAGTGACAGGCATGTCGAAGATGTGTCATTTTAACTTTATCCAAGAAATGCTTACTGAACACCCGCTCTGTGTAAGGAATTGTTAACCATTGGGAAGTATTGCTCTCCATTTATTTGGGATTTTAGTCTTACTGCATCATAGCTCATATTTTTGTGTTTCAGTTGAAATCTATTAACTATTGATTTCTATGTTCTGTTCTCAAAATTCCACCGACTCTAATGCCATTTCAGACTGTCTTTTCCAAAGGGATTCAAGCATATATAACTATACAATTCAAGCAAGTCAGCTCATGAGAGTCTTAAATAGAGCAAATGATCCCAACTGAGATTTAGTCAGTATTTTTGTTTTTCAAGTTTGGGGAGAGTGGTTGGCTTTAAATACATCAGCTTTAAGACCCTTGTTTAATTCTGGATAAGAGAGGGCCTTGGTCTCAGCGTGAAATCCTTCCTGCAGTTGGCGGTGGCGCTCCCGAAGCCCTCTCGCGAAGGCGGTGGCCGCCCCTGGCTGCAGGGCTGCCCAGCTGCCACGCCACGCCTGGAGGCTTCGAGGAGCCACTTAACCTTTCTGTGCCTAGACTCCCCATCTGTAGAATGGGGTCAATACCACCTACCTCATAGGGGTGTTGTGAAAACTTAGAAGAACAACGTCAAACGTTTCAAATGCTTAGATAAGAGAGATGGCATAAATGGAATCTGCACCGTGAGAGATTGCACAGATGCAGACCCTGGTCTGCTGTACCAGACTCTGGAATTGTGTGTTCAGAAGAGCATGTTACCAACTCAGAAATAGTACCGACTTCTAGATTTCATGGCCTAATTAATTTTTTCGTTATTATATATACCAAAGAGGTTTACGGGTTTGTTGATTCCTGGGATGACACTCTTCTGGTGTGAGTGGACCCTACCGTCGGCCCTCGAGAGGGCCTTGCAGCCAGGCTGGCCAAGGCTGCTGCTGGAGCTCTCAGCAGCTGGTCCCGCTGGCATGAACACTCCCCAGTGGGACACTGACATGCACTTACTCTGGGAACTTGAGTTGAATCAGTCCTGACTTGTTCTCCAGACCACGCTTAGCAAAGTAAACTCCACTCATCGGGATTGCAGACTGGAGGAAGGCGTGGCTGGGGTTTCAGTAGCCATCCCCAGCTCCTTGAGTGACAGTTCTGTGCTGCATCTAGCAGGATTGGACCCAGCTTTCATTCCCATGGTGGGGGGGGGGGGGGGGGCTGTGAAGTTGTCTTTAATAGATGGAGAACAGCTAACGATGGCCCTTGGCTCTGTGGACAGAAAGTCTGAAGGTGTTGGCATTTGGTGATCTCAACTTCATCCACCTGCTGGAGTTCACAAAGCCCACCTTCCTGTCAGGCCCTTGAGCTCAGGAGGTAGGCCTGGTGTTTTGCAATGAGATGCTACCGTTATACCACCTGGGCTTTAAAAAGCAAAATCCCTTGGGCGGGAGTAGGGAGACACCCCGAGCCTGACTTGTACACCCAGGGCAGAAGTCAGCAGTTACTTAGGGAGAAAAGATGAACTACTTAGGGGAAGATTTGGCAAGTGATTGACTTTCATCTAGTACTGACATTTTCAGATTATTTTTAACTTTATAAATTTAGCAGTGACAGTGTACACGACAGAGAATCAGGTTAATGAAGTACAGGCTTTCTGGGTATTCCCAAAAGCTTTCTGGGTAAAGGCCACATCACCAGTTCCCTTAAATTAAGAAACTGTCAAAAGAGATGACTTACTTTTTCCATTGCAGGTTTTAAAGTGGAGAGTCTTAAATGGAGAAAAGGCAATGCACAGAACAAAGCTACTTTGAAGCAGCGTAAAATGAAACATTCTATGAGGATTTGCAGGCTATGGCTAAGAATAGCAGTTTACAGAAAAGAGGTAGTAAGTAGCAGGAGCCTGGCTGAAAGCGAAAGACAGCATACCCCACTGTCCCTTCATCATTTGTAGGAACTGCTTCTTGAGCCTAAAGACTAAACTTTATTAATCCCTTCCATTTATTTAACACTGAGTGATTGACATGATAGGGGAATATTCCTAAACCAATACGTGTGTTAATAGCTTAGGCTCCGGAGGGTCGGCCGTAGCTCAAGCTCATTCTGGTAGCAGTCACTCTGTCATAGGTACAGTAAACCACTGTCCCTCCTCTGCACTTTCTTACTGCCTTAGATAGTTGTGATCTCCCACCACATCTTGCTTCTGTAGTGACTTGATGAGGTTGGTAGGAGAGGCTTGCTGTCTGCGCCCTGCTGTGAGACTTGATGCCTTGCCCTGGGCTTGGAGGGCCAGCTGTCACGGGTGGTCCCAAGCGCTTGCTCTAGAGGAAGCCGTCCCGTAGCTAGGAGAGTAATTTAATGGAGTAATTATTCTACTCGTCTTTTTACATGCAGAAATGTTTATTTAAATATTTTAAATTGGATTTTCTTTCACAGATACTGAATATTCTTTCCAATTCTTAAATAAAACTGTACTTGATTTCACTATGAACCATAGCGTGATTGTGTGGGACGTAATCATGACACCTCTGACTAAGAAATGTCTGGGACCTACAGCATAAAACCAGATGTATTTTGCCCACTCAATTCAGTTCTGAATGCTAATCTCTAACCAGTTCGTTATGACAAGTTCCTCCTGCCCGTTAGGCTCCCAAGGGTTTGTGATGCTCCGGAATGAGTGTCCATGCTCCAAAACAGGTGCAGAGGTGTTGGATATTGATGTGATGTTTTCGTGTGTTGATGTGCTGGTCTCCCTGGCATGTGGAAGCCATTTGCTGTTGGAACCACTGAATAAGCTGGGTATCTGCTTAAAATGTGGCTGTGTGGACATTTTACCTCCAAAACTTTAAATTTTCGGTCATCTGGGTTAATTTTCCTTTTTAAGCATTTGTGACATTCCACCTGACAGAAAGGGCAACTGGAAAAGCGAGAAAAAGTTGTGGAGAAGTTGTGACCATCTCCTGCCACACATGCCACCGGCTGCTGCTTTGCTCCGTGAGCTCAGTCCTTGTGTGAAAGGAGACCGGAGTGGGGTTTCGTCTCTGCTGAGTCTGTGCTCAGGTTGCTGGGTGGAACCAGCAGGGCCAGTGCTGCACAGTGCTGGAGTCTCCCTGTCTCAAGTTCGGACTGGTGCGGGCTGATGGAGTGCGGGGCCCCGCATGCAGACGCCAGAGCAGCGAAGGGCTTTTCCACATGGACCGGGATGCCGTCTGCAGCCGCGTGATGGGGACCAAGACTTTGTGCAGTGCGAACACAGGGAAGAGTGAAGCTCTCAGCTCAGGCCAAAGAATCGGAAATGAGGACCTGTCAGAGTTTCTGGGGTCTTCTGCTGTTTAGTGATTACCCTTTGTTTCATGATGGGAACAACCTTTTCTTAAATATCCCAGTCTTGATGTGCAGGCTGTAAAATACCCACCCCTCAGGACCAGTCCCATTTGCTAAGTCGGGCGCTCTCTCCGTGTGGGGATATCACCCCCGTTCTTCTGTCTGGGTTTATGAGGGTCTTTATTCTTCAGTGGAGGCTCTTCTGTGAGGCTGTTCAGAGTCCGGCCGTTCCCTCTAGGTTCTGATGTTTTCTCTCTCTTCTCTGTGACACTCACCGGGTCATTCCTAAAGGAACACTTGACATGAGGTCTACTCACCACCCCCATGCCAGCACTAACATCCACTGGGGCCAAGGCTTTTGGAATGGGAAGCCTTTCTGGAAGCACCCATGGGTGAACCAGAACTGTATCATCTCCTAAAGGATTCTCATCCCATTTTTTTCTTTTTTAAGATTTTATTTATTAGAGAGGGAACACAAGCAGGGGAAGCGGCAGGCAGAAGGAGAAGCAGACTCCCCGCTGAGCAGGGAGCCCAATGTGGGACTCGATCCCAGGACCCCGGGATCATGACCTGAGCCGAAGGCAGATGCTTAACCGTCTGAGCCACCCAGGCGCCCCTCTCCTCCCATTTCTAATGATTTTTAGTTGCCCAAAATCTGCAGTTCAGGCCTTCTCAGAGCCTTGTGGTGAAAACAGGTTTGAACGGACACTCCCCTGGAGCATCTGAGCAGAACGTGGTGGCAGGGAGGGTGAGACTAGTTTCTGGCCTGTCACAGCAGCAGACTGCGCCATGTCCTCCAAGCTCTGCCTGCTCTGATTTCTGCAGCCCCGTTCTCTGCCCCGTGGCGAGCACACTTAACTGAGAGCAAAATACTAAAAGATCAGCCTGTGACAGTGATGTATCTGTTCCTGCACATTCCTTTTTTCCTCTGGCAAGTATTTTGGCAAACACCGTGTCGCCAGTGAATAGTGATGCTCTCACATCAAGAAATGATCCTCAGTCACTTTCTCATTTAAGTGACTCTGAGTCACTTGGTGTAAATGCACTCGAGCCAGTCTGCAACCCTCGGCGGTGTGAGCAGTGCAGGCAGCAGCCATAGCCGTTTATAATTCTAGAACGCCGGCCACCTCTGTCCTCCGTGAATTCTCTGGCCCTGTATTTTACAACCAGACCCAGCCGAGCCCATAGAGCTGGTCAGCGTCAAGCCTGGGCCAAATGGGAAAGAAACCCGGGGCCTGTCCCTGTGCCTCATGTTTGTCTCTGAGATCGAATCACTTGCCACTTGGGCTGGGAAGACTCGCCTTACCTGGCCTGAGTCTCACTGTCGGTGCTGTCATCACGCGTGTTTTGTAGGTGCTCCGACTGTTCGTCCACTGGCGCCTGAAGCCTATGTGAGAGAGAGTTCCCGGGAGGCTTGAAGGCAGCAGAGCCGGCCGCTGCCTGTCCTTCAGCTCTCTAGACAGAGAGCCAAACTGAATGAGACACTCAGAGGCCTGCCTAGGGTTTTGGTCCTCAGATATTGACCGAGGGCCAGGGCTGCTCTCAGGACAGTTGTGTTGTGGTCAGGAAGACGTGCTGAGGTTGGGAAGAAGGCGCTGCAGGACCAGGCAGCCGGGAATGGCAGGAGCAGAGACCTGTGTGGAGAGGATCTCTGGGACAGTCTGAAGCAAGAACATTCCAGGCAGAGGCTGGGAGGGGGGAACTGGTCTGACTTCTCTGGGTAACTGAAAGGCCATTATGACTGGGGTGTGGTGAGGGGCTAGTGTGGTTGGAGGTGGACAAGGAGGGTCCCAAAAGGGCTGTAAGGCCCTGGAGTGATGGGAAGTCTAGGCTTTAAGAAGACCATTAGCTATGGAACACCCTAGAGGGGCCGGAGAGGGTCGGTGATGGTGGCTTGCCCTGGGGCTGCCATGGGGACAACCGTGGGCTGAGACAGTCATGTTAGCAGGACTCCGGGATTGGTTGGAAATGGGTCGAGGAAAGGAAAGGAATCAGAAGGTCCCGGCCTTCTCACTTGGGCATCTGGGTGATGTGATGCCCCTCACTGCAGGGGGGGTGTGGGGGAGGATATGGAGTCCTGCCATGGGGGGATCTGAGGCACCTGTGACAGACGTGTCCAAGTGGAGACCCCCAGGAAGGGGCAGTTGGAGAGGGGTCTGGAGCTCAGGAGGGCCTGTGCTGGGAAGGGCTTGGAGGTTGTCGGTGTCGCAGTGGGATTTTAAAGTTGGGGGGATGGATGAAGCCCCTTCAGCATAGGGTGTGGGATGGGGAGAGGCCCTAGGACTGGGCCCTGGGGAGAGCTGACACTTGGGCACTGAGCAGAGGTGGCAGAGTGGCCAGTCCAAGAAGGGACCCTGAGCGGCAGGAGGGAAGCCAGTGTGGGCTGCCTTAGAACAAGAGAGGAGCGTGGTGAGGACGCCATGAGCACTGCTGAGAGACCGAGGGCTGCGGCCAGAGGCCACTGACCACAGCCGGCCACAGGAGCGGGCTCGGGGGTGGGGCTGCCGGCGGTGGAAGACCAGGAAGCAGAGGCAGCAACACCAGACACCTGGAGAATGGCGCCCTGGAAAGGGACAGAGGCAGCCTCCCTCCTCCCCACAGACCTCCAGGAAATGGGCTCTAGCCTGAGCTCCTTTCCCTTTGCCAAAATTGGCCACAGGCGCCATTTCCCCACAGAGCCAGGCCTCCAGGAGCACATTACTTGAAGCTAGTTTCTCACTGAAGCAGAGCGCCCAGAATGAAATGCACACCAATTATAAGAACGAGGCTTGGTACGTGTGCACAGCCTGAACAAGTTGGGTAGGTGGCACCCAGAATGTCACCTCCGTCAAGAGTCCCCCTGGGGGTCATCACCATCCCGACTGCTAATGCCAGAGGATAGTTGTGTCTGGTTTTGAGGTTTTATAAATGGAATCACACGGTAGGTGGAGTAAACGACTTTGCGCGCCGAGGAGACACGGCAGCTAGTCCTGGGTAGGCCGGGATGCCGTCACAACTGTGCGGGAGCTGTGCCGAGTCTAACCTCTCCGCACGCACGTCAGAAGGCTCGCTTGAAGGGTGGCTTGGAAGTTCTGGACGAACGTACAATTGCACACACTTTAATTTTCCTTCTTCCTCAAACTCGATAAAACTCTAGTAAAGGGGCCAAAACAATAGGGGAAGAAACTTCTCCAGGTTGAGAACAGAAAGGGATAACACCAAAATGTTTGAAGCTGGAGGGCACGTAGTCAGTGGTTAACTACCTCAGCAGACGTGAGAAACCCAAGCTCAGAGTGGACAGTGGGACAAGCCAAGGCCCAGCTCCGTTCACACCACAGAATCCTAGCGGGCCCAGCAACTGGCAGCCTCCTCACCTCTGCAACAGGGAGGACGGGACAGAAGTAGGGAGGGGGGTGACAGTCAAGATCCTTACCGCAGAGCAGCTGCCCCTCCCGCGCCCCGCCAAAGGGTTAGTCTCTGGGAGGGTACCACACACAGGTGAGAACTGCTGGAAAGCAGCTGTGCCTGCAAGTGCTCCACATGGTGGCCTTCAGGAAGGAGGCTGGGGAAAACAAGCCCTGCCTACCCCGATCCCCTGCAACGAAGCGCCCCCACGTGCCCTGAGCATCCAGTCTGCCCCTGCCCCCAGCTCCTAATATGAGCACATGATCAAAGATGACCAGACAAAAGCCTTTAACGTGGAAGATGGAAACCTAAACAAACAAACTTGGAGGAAACAGACTTGAGAAAGAAAAAAACCAACAAACACCTATCAGCCTCAGAGGGGTAAGAAACTATGTCTGTGAAGCAACAGAAGGCTGTGAAAAAAAGTCTAGGGTACAAAACAAGAGCTCTTGGAAATGGAAAACAATGAAATTTTGAAAATAGCTCTTGGAAATTTTCTTCAAAAAAATGAACTCAGTACAAGGGTTGGAAGAAAAAGGACATCTCACAGAAAGTACAGCAGAGACACAAAGAGATAGAAGAAAACACCGAGAAGGCAAATCAGAGGGCCAGCCCAGAAAAGCCAATATTCAGTAATAGGGATTCCAGAAAGAGAAAAATTGAAATCAACTCACTGGTTCAAAAAGATGTGTGTCAAAACTGAAGGACATGAACTTCCAGACTGAAAGGACCGGGTCCTTTCTAATGGATGAAGTAGACCCTCACCAGTGGGAAGTTTCAGAACCATGGGACCAGAGAAAATTCCACAAGCTTCTAAAGAGAATAAGTAGGTATTGTCACTAGGATTAGGAATCAGAATGCCTTCGGACTTCTCAAAGACAGCCTTGGAAGCTAGAAAATAATACAGCGATGCTGTCAAAGGAGAATCATTTCCAATCTAGAATTTCAATCTAGAATTCAATACCCAGGAAAACTATCAATCAAGTGTGAAGGCAGAATAAAGACATTTCAGACTGGTGCTGTCCAAAATATAGACCTCCTGTGCACCCTTGTTCAAAGAACTATGGTGGGTTGGTGGACTCCACCAAACCACAAAAGAGGAAATGTGGGATACAGGAAACAGATCAAAGGCAGGGGTGAGGCAAATGGGAATCCCCAAGAGGGTGGCAGAGGAAGAGCTCAGGCTGACCACTGTGCACCAGACCTATAGGGTAACCAGCCCACCCTGGGGCCAGGTGACTCAAGGGACAGGCACGCTGAGGACCTGCCACCAACATCCCTTTGCTACTGTAACACCTTTTGATGCCCAAGTACAGTGCTGAGAGCCTAGCCTTGTCTAGACTTGGCTTAAGCATGTAGTGAGGAAGTTCTGTGCTCTCTTCCATGTCCTGTTGCCCGGATCTACTGACGGCTGTCATTACACCCACAAGAAGTATCTTTTGCTTTGACCTATTCCTGAGGGCCAGAGGTGGGCGATTTTGTGCCTAGAAGCAGAAACTCAAAGCAGCCCACTCATTCTGTGTTTTTGGAGATGTCCAGAACCTGGTCTGCCCAGATGCCCTGAGTAAACTCTCATGCCCTGACCCACTGAATTCCTGAAAAGAGCTCTTCTGAGTGTGTGGCACCTTTCCCACACACATTCTTAAGTGTCTTGGCTCTCCTGTGAACACGCCTTGGTCTCACCTGGGCTCCAGCCGCTCCTTCACCTTGGCAATGGAGCGGACGTAGGGCGTGATCTGCTTGGTGATGGTGGTCAGGTAGGCATTCTCCTGCTTCAGCTGAAGAAGGTCATGGAGCTGGGCTGTGGGAGCCAAGGCCAGAGCGTTGGGTCTTGTTGGCTTCAGGTTGTTACTGTCAAGCCTTGTACCATCTAAACATCCCAACTACTTCAGCAATTGCCTCTTTAATTAAAGGGCAACGTAGGACTTGTGAAGGCATTCTGCTTACTGAATCCTGACCTCATATGCATCGTTTTGGGGCATTAGCAATTGTGGGGCAAAGTCAAGGACTACGGGGAAGAGCATGGGAGTTTGTATCTGGTTAGTGGGTAACTGACTTCCTGCCCCTGCCAGCACGTGGGTTAGCTCCAGGAAAGGGGTGCACCCAGCAGCAGTTGCCTGCGACCTTCGTAAATCTCCTGCTCATTAGCCACCCGCTGGTAGGATTCCTCCCAAATCTGAAAGAGAAAGTGAGTTGGACATTGTATACGGCCATGAGTTGGAATTTCCATTGGTGGCATTTCTGTCCTCTAGCTACTCAGGGCCATAGGGCACCCCCAGCTAGTTCACATGGTTCCAGGCGGCAAAGACCCCAGTTCCAGAGCTTGCCACACGAGGGCCTCATGTTGGACCAGGCCAAGGTCCTGTTTCTCTCCCCTTCCTGTCTTGGGGTAACCCATGTATAAGGTGACAGGTGGGGCTAGGTGCCTGGAAGGGGGGTCGCTACCTCCTGGAAGACTGCTCTCATCCCCTCCAGGGAAGCGTACTCCGAGGCAATCTGCGCGTCCACCTGCAGCGACTTGTGCAGGATGTCTCCCATGATCTCTGCCTTGATGAGCGAGTGGTGCTTGGTGAGGTCCCGGTGCAACTCTTGTACCTGGTCCTTCAGGGTCTGCATCTCTGCCTGCAGGCGCTGTGCAGGGAGACCCAGTGAGTGCCTGTGGTTCCTGCGAGGCTGTGTTCACTGTGGGGGCCAGGTGGCCAGGACTAGATTTGGCCACTGCACTTTGGCGAGAAGGGGTGGGGCCTTTCCCAGCCCGCAGCTCCCTGGCCCCACTCACCCGGTAGGAGTCCTCATAGTGGCAGCAGTGCTCTGTGAACGGTGTATCCTCCCCCTCCGCCAGCAGCACCTTGGTGCTGATGGACCGGTGCAGCGTGGGCTTTTGGACCGACGACCCCACCATCTTTCCCACTGGGGAAGGGCAGCTGGGCCCCATCAGCACCTTGGGGCCTGAGCTTGCTGCTAGTCTGAGGAGAGAGCCAGTGTGAATGCAGATTGGGGGGTGCGGCTGGGAGGGTCTTCTCCTACTCCAGGCTCTCAGCCTCTTCCCCTGGGCTGCCCGCCAGAACCACCTAGGGGCTCTGAAAAAGCCTCTGCAAGCTCCACCCAAGACCAAGGACATCAGCATGGTGTTTTATTTTTTTAATATTTTTATTTATTTATTTGAGAGAGAGAGAGAGCACAAGCAGGGGGAGCAGCGGAGGGAGAGGGAGAGGGGGATGCAGGCTTCCCATGGAGCAGGGAGCCGGATGCGGGGCTTGATCCCAGGACACTGGGATCATGACCTGAGCCAAAGGCAGACACTTAATCCACTGAGCCACCCAGGTGCCCCAGCATGGTGTTTTAAAAAACTCCCCAGGGGGGCGCCTGGGTGGCTCAGTCGTTAAGCGTCTGCCTTCGGCTCAGGTCATGGTCCCAGGGTCCTGGGATCGAGCTCCGCATTGGGCTCCCCGCTCAGTGGGAAGCCTGCCTCTCCCCCCTCCACTCCCCCTGCCTGTGCTCCTCTCTCAATGTGTCTCTCTCTGTCAAATAAATAAATAAAATCTTTAAAAAAAAAAACAAAACACCCCAGGGAAGTGTCAACGTACAGACAAGAGTCCATCGGGACATGTCAGGGCTGGTCCGGAGTAAACTTTGTTCACTCACACATGGGACTTTGGACATTTGGCCTGATGCCCAGTCTCCCTTGACTGGGGCCCTGGGGTCCCAGGCACATACATCCAGCTCAGGCATTCTCCTAACTCCTCCTGTGTCTCTGGCTCTCCAGACTAAGGCCCGGAAATCAGGCCTTACCCCAAGCTGCCCCTTCCCTTCAGTCCCTATGCGCCCCGTTCTGGGGACAGTCCCCAGCTCCTCCCCATCCTCCCCTAACCAGGCTCTGCACCAGATCGGCCAGGGACTTCCAGCCTCTGGGGGGGGCGACAAGCAGCCAGTCCCCACTGCGACGGGTACCTTGTGCCGCCCCCCACAGCCCGTCCCGCGGCAGGGAGGGCACCCCAGCTGCTCACGTGTTGGTGCCGCCCCCGGCACCTGTCGCCCGGTGGGGCCCCGGCAGCAGCAGCGGCTCCAGGCAGCGTGCAAACTCGGCGCGGTGGTCGCTGGTGATCTGGGCGGCAGGCGTGGGTGGTGAGGCGGCCTTTTTACCCGCTGGTCCCACGGCCCCAGCCCAGCCCCCTCCGCCGTGCACCTTGCTGTTCTGCGCTGGCCCGAGGTGCTGGGGACGTGTGACGATGCCCTGCAGCCTCTCCATCAGCTCCTGCAGCAAGAGGAGGGTGCTCAGGCCCGTGTAGGGGTGGGGGTGGGGACGCCAGTGAGGCCCCATGCCCCCCCCAAGGCAGGGCTGTCTTTGGCACTTCACCTGCTGTGCACTGGGGGCTCCAGCCCTTCCCTGGGACCGTCCCAGAACCCCTACACCACCCCAGCCCCCAAATCCACAGGAAAGTCGGGGGTGGCTGGACTCCCGGCAGACACTCTACACTTTGGGGGAGTGGAGGCTCATGCTCCCTTCCAGGCTTTGCTGTCCTTTTAAAAGGGACTCAGCTGGCCCCTAAATGGTTTGCAGATGATGGTGTGGAGGAGGGGAAGGTAAGCCCAGAGAGCCCTGGTCCAGCTGAAGTGGCAGGCTGCCAAGCCCTGAGGTGGCAGTCGGCTGTGCAGGGTGGGCTGCAGGTCGGGAGCGGGGAGACCCCTCAGGAGCTAGGGGGACTCACATAGCCCAGGTCCAGAAACTCAGCCTTATTGGCCAGGCTGAGGAAGGAAGAGCAGATGACCAGGTGAACCTGTGGGGGGGACCCTACTCAGTACCTGGCCAGGGCAGGGAGGCCTCTGGGCTGGGGTGCCCAGCCCTGAACCCCCAGCTCCCCTTACCTGCAGGGTGGGCAACAGAGTGGCCAGGTGGGAGAGCTGCTCCTTGAAGGCCTTGTCCTTCTCTTCGTATTGGCTGGGGGAGGGGCAGGCAGCCTCATCTCGGAGGGGAGGGCTGCTCACCCCCACCTAGCTGGAACCTCAGAAGCGGGAAGTTCCATCTCCCCACCACCTTTGTTCATCCTCCCTGTCAGCACTTCCTGCACCCTGAGCCACCCTGCCCTCTTCACCCCAAGGTCTTGCTCCCCAGGGTGGGGCAGGGTCTGCCCAGGTCCAGGCAGTGGGGCCAAGGGGCAGGGGGTGGAGACCCCGCCACCACTCACCTCTGCACAGCCTGCAGCAACAGCGTTTTCCTTTCTGCCAGTTTGTCCTGGGAGGGACAGCCTGCTTCTGACTGGGCATGCTCAGCCTGCCCCCTCCCAGCACTCACCCACTCCTGGGGCCCAGCCACGCCCCTGGTTAGGCTGGCTGTGTCTCTGGCCTCCTAGCCCTTCCTTCCTGCAT